ATCATTTTGTGTTTCTTCAAGTAGTGAAAACTTTGGTACGATCTCCTTGGGTTCCTTTGGTGGTATCTTGTCAAGTGGCGATTCGGTTCGATTCCAAAACTTGCGTAGCTCCATAGCAAGGTCGAGTTCATTCTCTTCCACAAGTCTATCGACATCCTGTTCCGTAATTAACATTCCCTTCAAAGCTTTTGCAAAATCATGTGATAATTCATTGTCTACAACGTATTTACCGTTGGCCAAGTCGTTAAAAGAAATATTCTCTAGCTGCCGCAATGCCTTATTGAAACGTACGAGGGTCTGTCCCGCAACACCGTCTGCGCCTCTTAGTTTGTCTGTGCTCCGCACATCGAATGGAAGCCACTTGTCTACTTCGACTTGGTCTGCATTATCTGCAGTTCGATTTAGCGTCCCGCCAAACAAAGATACCATAAAAGGTGTTACAGCAGTTGTACGTTGCATAACAAGTTTTTTATTGCTTAGGAGAGTGAGCTTATCGAAAGACAACAACTGGGCATTGCCTTTTGATGACGATGCAATACCTTCAACTTCCAAGTTGGGTCGTTTCCAAGGGTGATTGATAGAAGAAGGGTGTACGTCGATGAGTACTTTCTCGTTGGCGACAATTTGATATTTGGTTTCGTGATTATTCCATATACCAATGTGTGGATACAAGCCCTGTACAAGAAGTGCTCTGATTAATTCATCCTGATCTGAGTTTTCATTCAGTATCTCTCCGCCATACTTTTCACCAAGTCCGGCCACGCCTTGAGTCTCTTGGTTTAGCACCAAACCATTTCTGCGAAGCGCTTGTTGGATTAAACCAATGTTTCGCTTCACTGTGTCATAACTTGCCACACTAAGAAATTTCTGGTGCGCAAAAGAGGTCATGACTTCGCGACCATCAACTTCTTCCAATTGGCGAAGCGCACGTAAAGCGTTGAGCATGGCCACATGATCGCTTTTGGATGACCTTGCAAATCCTCTCATTGCCGCATCAGATTCTTCTTCCATATCCAGTGGACGCACATGCAGTATTAAGTTGTCAAAGGCTGCTAGAACTATCATGGAATCTAGACAACGAAAAATAATTCCGAGAATTACCATTTTGCCCAGTGTGGGCCTCAGTGGGAGCATTCCAATTATTCGACCCAGAGGAGTAATTTTTTCCGTGGAGGTGAGTGCTCCAAGTGTTTGAAGACCCTCAATGCTTGACTGTATTGCTTTCGGTGATGGAGGCTCTGGAGCGCTCGCTAAGAAATTCTGAATAGGTTCATTGTAACCCAGGATTTTAACTGCGAGACAGGTGCTTTGCAAATCGACGCGACTCATCCCTGGGCGCGGAGTCATTCTAAAGGAATCATAGCGACGTTTTCTGCTTCATGTCAATATTAAAAAGCGAATGGAGTTGAAGGAATGACTCACGAAAAGAGACCATAATAATTGCCGTTTTGAACACGGCCTGCTCGACCTGATCTCTGTTTCACACTTGACTTGCTAATCCATTTACAAGACAATGACCAAATTCGTAACATTTGATGAAAATTATCTTCCTTGTGTTTTCCAGTATCAACAACATATTGAATATCGTCGATAGTGATTGATGTTTCAGCAACATTTGTGGCTAAAATGATCTTTCGACAACCTGGAGGAACTGGCTCGAAGACCTCCTGATGTCTATCTGCAGTAGAGGAGTGTAATTTCAAAATCTTGAACTTATTTTCGTCAATGAAGTTTATATTAAAATAATCTTGCGTCTTGAGATTTTTTTCAACGATATTGATGCTTCGTATGCCTGGCAGGAAAAGTAGTATTGCGCCATCTTCTGTGGTACTAGCTATGTGCGCAATCACAATAGCAGCCAGATCAACGGGCACTTGCCCCTCCAAAGTGTCCATTGCTATCTGCTTCTGTAGACTATCAGGATCATCGTCATGGCTGTCCCATTTGATAACCGATTTAGGCTGTTCATTCTCAATGTCCATAACCAAATCTGTCTTCTTGATCCGCTCTTCACTTTTCAAATAAGCTTTATTCCTGCTCGAGTCAAGGAGATCCCAGATAACATGACCTGTTGGATATGTTTCTCTGAAAGTATCCATTATATCTTCGAGAAAATATTTTTCGACAGGGAAAGCTCGACCCTCTACATGCAGAACTGGGCAGGCAAGCTCCCGGGTTTCAGTTTTGAAAGCGAAATATTCCTGAAGCATCTCGGCGTCGGCGGTGGCACTCATCAAGCACACTTTTGGCGTAGGCTTTCCAGCTTCAATTCTCTCTTTCACAAGCTTTTTAACCATTGTCAAGAGAAAGTCGATATCCACATCTCTCTCATGTACTTCATCAATAATGAGATGTGACATTTCGTGTAGTAGAGTATCGGGATGGTGTATTAACTGTTGTAAGATGATCCCTGTGGTACAATACGTAATGCTTCCGCGAGGGTTGGGGAGTTCAGTATCAAAACCTACCTTGTAACCGACTTGATCACCAAGCATTTGACCACGTTCTTCAGCAACACGTTCTGCCACTGATTTTGCAGCTATCCTTCGCGGTTGCGTACAAATGACCCTACACTCTCCACCACGTTTTGTACGGATATATTCATCCAGAATGATTTGAGACAACTGGGTCGTCTTTCCACTCCCGGTTTTCCCGATTAAAATAGAAAACTGATTGTTTTCAACGTGATTCAATACTTCAGACGAATTCTGGTTTAAAGGGAGCGAGTATTTCTGTTGGTGCGAACGTTGAGAAGACCACTTCGATAAATCGCGGGAACGTTGTTGAACTTTCCAGTCATAGGAATACTCAAAGCGAGTTTTATCGTAATCCACCAAGGGAGGAACATCATGGTCCTTACATTCACGAGTAGGTAGTGTTGATAAGTTTAGCTTTGTGGTGGTATCTACCGTGCGTTGCATTAACTCCAGACTAGTCTGGTGTAGTTTAAGCTCCATAGGAAGGGCTTTGCCCACGTACTTTCCAGTTCTTACATCCAGCTTATTCGAATAATCCAAGAGTAGTTGAGGCCTTTGCTTGACTAGTGTGACTGCAGCGACTAGGAGAGTCAACGTTTTAAGGTCACGAGAACTACTTCTCTCAATAGCTGGACCAAGTGTTTGAAGAGCAGCAGTGTTAGAATCCTTGGTAAAGGCTTGACTTTTGAAAATTTCGCCCTCACGATTTATCTGAATGACTAATTTGTCATTGTAGTCATTATAGAAATCCATAAAATTTCTCACGCTTGCAGTGGTTAAAACGATTGGTTCTTCTGATGAATCGGAAGGTATGCTATTTGAAATATGGTGCTTCTCAGCTTGCACTTTGAACTCTGTACATGCCATAGCCTCCGTGAGCGGGAGATCGAAACTGGTTGCGGTGGCATGAATACTATGTTCAGGCAAAGATATAGTGACAGTAAACTTTGTTTTTGGAGTTTTAGGCTTTTTTGATGTAACGGGGCTACTCCGGTGTTCTTTTTTAGAAACTGTCTGAGAAGTGACAGTGTATTCCGGGATATGTAGATATTTTGCTGCATAATTAAACACTTCAAGAGTGACAAGATGATTCGGTGTGAACTCCTTCGGTTTTTTTGCCGACTTTAATTTCGGCTTTGCTGGTGGTTCTTTGGGTATTAACAGAGCATCCAGAATTGATTTTATTCCTGTTGGTATGATTGGCCTTATTGATTGAGTCTTTGTGGATTGAATATTATGATCAAGCTTCTCCTGTTCTGTTTTGGGTGTTGACAAGGCATCCGGAATTGATTTTGTCTCTGTTGGTACGATTGGTACTATTGGCTGGGTCTCTGTGGATTGAACATTGTAGCCAGGCTTCTCTTCTTCTGTTTTGGCAACCCATTTTGGTGAGATGAGGGGTAACAAGTTATCTAATAGTTGTTTTTCTTCAAGAATGGGGAAAAGTTGCAAAAGTGCAACTCCTCTAGCCAACCACTAAAACTGTTGGTTAGTGAAGCTTTCCAATTTACTTGAAGGACTAACCCTACTTTTGTTGTAGATAACCCAACGACACTTAAAGGAGCTTCATCAGGAAGTTTGAAAGTCAGACTGCATTTAGAGAGAATTCTCTGACCATCTGTTGCAAAATAACTCTGGCTTTCGTATTCAAAAGTACAGTGTGCTTTACTCAATATGGTCGTGTTCAGAGAAGCAAGGAAAGCAACCTTACTGAATCCGGAATCACCGTGTCCAATAACACTTTTGGCTAATTTCGGGCGTTTCATGAAGATTTTGTTTACAGCGTCCCAATCGATTGTATCTTTCGAAAAGACAGCTGTAAGCGGAAGAGGCACTCCAAGTTCGTTTGGTGAATTGGATTCTGGAGGAATATCAAATAACCAATCATTCGTAGGAGACTGAGGTCTCTTTTCAGAAACAAGTTCTGATGAATAATACCTTACGAATGAACATTCATGGCTCCAATTCCACTGTCTTGGTACACAAAGTACATTGCGGCGGTATAGTAGGTTGGGTATCCGGCCGTGGAGATTCTATAAACTTCAATAAGTGAACATCAGATATGGATTGAGGTTCTACAAACCAGTCTCCTGAACATTGAGTGATTCAGTCAAGCAATAGCCTCAAAGCTTTGCTTCCTGGAAATCAGTTGGTGAGATCATTGAGAGATTATGTTTGAATAAACATAAATTAATTGTATTGATTTTGCTGATGTTGGAGTCGAAGATTTAGGCGGTGTATTTGGCAAAATTCTTAATGAGTTGAGTTGATATCATGTGATCAGTTTTACATGTGACAAGACTTCATCTTCAACTTGGCTCCACCTTTTGTGGTAGGCAGCCACCTGAAAAGGGGAAGCTTCGCGAGGTGGTATCTATATTTCACCTAACATATATATAAATCAAGTCCCATCACCTTGATTCATTGTTATGATTCCATCTTATTTACATATCTACCTAACCTTACTCATTCCTTTTCAACTCATGAATCACGTCTCCAAAACTTCCTCCGAATTCCAATGTCATGACTTATCAAATGCAAGCATTCCCTGGTATAAACTTGCTTGGCAAGCCCGAGAAAAATGGAATTTATGATCGACAGGAGATAATAACACTTATAACACAATACTACGACCTTCTCGCCAAAATACGTTACTTTGCCGCCTCCTACATCAAATATGCGCCCCACGATCATCCCATCGACGTAGAACTCGCAAAGTCCTATGATCTTGAACTTCTTCAAGCCCTACCATATATAGAAGGGTATCGTAATGAAGACGAGTTTGTCCTTGGCGGAGGTTTTGCTGATATGAGGAATCTGGAAGTGTTAATGCAGAGCCGAGATCTGGGATTTGCTTCTCCTGAAGGCGGATTTGATGATGAAAACGGGGAGTATATGAGACCTTGGGAATTCTGTATCAATGAATGTGGAAATCATGGAACGATGATGTTTCTTGGCACGAGAAATGGTGAGAGTTCTGAATTGTCATTATTATATCTCACGTCGTTGAGACTTTCATTGTGCTACCCCTCAGATCCTTTCACCACTTGACCTGAATACCTACATCTATATTTAATCTCCACTCTCCTAATATCAACTCAGACCCGCTGATATATATTAACTCAAATCAGGCCATATAACAATGGAGGGTCAAGATTCCGGTCGTAGCGAAGATCCCGGCGTATATAACTACCCTGGGGGTCTCCAAAGTCGTAATCGCAATTCCCATGACCATCTTCCCAGCCGTAACGCTAAAGAAGTCTTCGAATATTTCACCAACAGACTTTTAAAACTTGAATGGATTCCAAGCTCTGAAGACCGTAGAATGTTATAAGAATGGGATGAAGATTGAAGATGTATTCACTTTTTTTCCCCTGAAGTCATCTCGACTCTAAGTGTTGTGAACTCAACATCGATACCATCCTTTCCACCATTTCTTTGTGTCTTAAAGCTCCCTTGTATGATTTTCTAACATCATCCAGTACGAAGATCTAAGACTCCTCTTCCGAACCTACGGCTGGCCCCATAACTTCAACCACACCAGCTTTGACTCTGCCTACTCCCGCTGGCGCGAGTTTTTAGCCGTAAAGAACCACGCGTGACTCTGCCTCTGATATAATCAATCAAAAACTCAATCTGGATAGCGTTACAGAATCACTAAATTCTCATTCTAGGCGTGTGCGTATGAGGGTATGGGATCGTAATCCTGATAAAGAACCCGAAGACGTGATAATGTTAAGTATCATTCTTGAGGAGAAAGAGAAATTAGTCAATCATGCAAATAAATTGCTAGAAAAGGCTATTGCTAATCATGAAGACTGGAAAGGAGAAAGGGCAGAAATTATTAAAGCATGGAAGAAAATTTTTGAAAATGACATTGAGAGGGAAGAGAGGACTTTAGAATGGTGGAGAGGAGATGGGAAGGCGTATTGTAAGGGAGAGAAAATTAAAGGCACTCGAGAAAGGATACGTGTCTTGAAGGGGAGATTGGCGAATGTAGAAGAACAGACAATTTCAGTAGAAGAAGTGATTGGGTCTTTGTAGAGATATGGGTGGTGGTATGCAGAAAGTACTCACAGGTTCCCAGACCAAAATACGATAATGAACCAATCAAACCTTGAATGTATCTTCTGATGGTCTCATTTCGTGTCAAAGATTCAGCATTTTGAAGCTTGAAAGAGATGTGGAAGTGCACGCAATGTAGTCAATATGGCAATCGACCCTTTTCATAAATCTTGCTCGCAAACAAACTCTCACGTCTTCTTTCCTTTCAGCCCATGGTTCCATCGAATTCACCATCACCCTCTTAACAAACTAGAACATTCACTATGAGGACAATTGGTTGGATCAAAAATTAATATTACAAGCATTTAATCCTGCTAGAATGAGAGTTTGCAGGACTCAATGGTCATAAAATCTCAATAGAATCTCCTCACTGAACTTTCGTGACAAACTTTCTGATCTCAGCGAAATTTAATAGTCAATCGATATCGCAATGTCTCTAGCCTATTTCATGGATATACCTCCAAATAGACTCGCTACCAGAGTGCCATCTCCACTCCCCTCCACTGCTCATCAAATTCTAACATCTTTGCAGCTCACTGGTGTCAAATACTACAGTTTCGGTGGTTTGTTCTACACTTCTTTTCAGAACTTTCCGCAACTAGCTGTTTCCAATAAGAAGAAATTCCACAGCTGACCATTTCTAAGAAGACGGTCATTGCTACTACCTCCACCCCGACGGCTCACAGCTCTACGCCCACGGATCCTGGAAACTGTTTATCAACACCAGTGGACACAGATATTGGAAACCTCTACAGTCAGAATTCGTCTGCAACCCCGACAAAATGAACGCGCGATTTGTTTATAACTTCAGCCAAAAATTGATTTATCGCGAGATGCGCGATTCTTTACGCGACATCGCGGCTCCTAGTCTCGGTACCTTGATTATGCGATATGATCAAGAGGTAGTGCAGGAGTATCTAGATAAATTAGGAAGTCGGATCAATAGCGATATTCGACTTCAGCATTGGGAACGAGTGAAGAAGGTTGCGTGGGATGAATTGGTTTATCTCGAGTGGAAAACGGGGTTGTGGTATGGTGAGTGGTTGGAGAAGGAACGAAAGAGATTGCAGGATAAGGGACAGTATTCGGAATATAATGTCTGGGTGAATGATGAATGGAAGCGTGTGATGAAGGATAACGATGTGGAGGATATTAAGAAAGAGAATATTGAGGAGAGGGCAATCAAGCAGGAAAATGTCAAGATAGAGGATTTTAAGGAAGAGATCATCAAGGAGGAACCTACTGGGGAGGTATTCATCAAAGATGAGTTCCCTAAGAAGGTATGCATCAAAACAGAACGTTGAGCTAGGGAAGTTGGACCAAGAACCTTAGAAGCCTTGTTTGTTATGGAGGTTGAAATTATTTTTCTCAAATGCCAATGCAAGAGTTGATCTTCATGCAATTACCCTCTTCCGTTTGATACGGTGTAGTGAATATTAAATAACACAATGATAAAAAATTCCAAAAGTACCCAGCGGTGATTATGAAAATGATTTGTAAGAAGACGAGAGTCTGGCTTCAGAAACAACCTTAGAGAGCCCGTATGGTTATTTATTAAACAAAAGGATAAAATAGGGAAACGCATATTAAAAAGAATAGAGAAACTATAATGAAAGTGAGGGAACAACACTTTGGGCTTAAACCCACGTATGATGTACTCCCATCCAAAAACCACCACCCCACCACCCTAGCAAAACTCTCCCTTCTCATCTGCACTACAAACTACATCCAGCTCTCTCGCTTTTCTAACTCTATTCTCACTCAGTACATACCTCTGCGGTAAATCAATAGTCTCCATCTTATCTCCCATCATCAAGCCTACAGCTGCTTTAGCACTCAATCTCGCCGTCGGCATTCCATGTCCTGTGAAACCAGCACAAACATATAAACCATCTCCACCTCCCAATTTCTCACTCACATTTCCTACCCAAGGCCAATTGTCTCTACTAAATCCCATAATCCCACTCCATTCATAAGAAGCCTCAAGCTCTTCTTCATTGTTATGAAGATTGAGTGTACGTGGTAGCTCTCGACGGAGATAATTCGCAGCAGGAGGATCAATAGATGAATCATCGAAGACGCCCAAACCAGCTTGGGCAGCAAATTGGCGACCCCCACCAAACATCAACTCTCCTCCTGATTCTCGTTCTGATGATGACGTGGAGGAAAAAGGTCGCTGGACGAGATAATCATCTCGGTTTATGTTTTGACCGAAATGACCCATGATACTATAAGAGTATTCTAAGGGTTTATTTGAGGATTCTATGGCCGGGGACATGGTAGATGGAGGGAGAAGTGAAGACATTTCACCACGGACAGGAGTAATGAGATCAGAGAAAGAGGGAAGAAGATGCGATGTATAGGCATTTGTCGCCAACAAAACTTTGGAAGCTGAAAGTTGGCCGCGAGAAGTATGAATTATCCATTCTGAAGAAGATTTTTGAAGCCCAGTTACGGGCGTTGAAGTTTGGAGATTGAATTTTGGGGAGCTTGAGGATTTATTCTTAGAGATCAAATCTTCTAGAACCCATGCAACCAATTTATACGGCCAGAGTGAGGCGGCTTTGGAGGTTGCAATTGCGCCAGCTGCTGTGGGAATTCGAAGGTCCGATAGTGAGGGATTAGTAGAATCTTTGGTGATAATGGTGACTAATTTGCCCAGTGTTGGATCCAGATTCTTGAGAGCTTCCGCAGCTTTGACGGCTACCTCGAACTGATCTTCTGACATATAAGAGTGACAGCTGGATAAAGATTTCCAATCACATTGAACATCATTTATCGCCACAAAAGACTTGATGTCCTCATAATTTCTCACTTCAAAGGCCCCAACTTCTGGAGGTGAAGCATAAACAAGAGGCTGACAATGACCTCCATTCTGAGTTTTATAGTCTCGTTAGTGATCAGACACTAATAGATTGTAGACCCGAGACGACGCCTAACTCACTCTACCAGTTGCTCCCCAACAAGCTTCTCTCGCCTCTAACATCACCACATTGAGATCTTTTCCATCGTCATGCTCTCTTAACCAATGTGCAGCTGAAGTTCCTGCAATACCACTCCCAACAATAACAATATCAGCTTTCGTGGGAAGATTCTCCGTAGTTCTATGACCCAATAAGATCTTCGAAGGCTCACTATGCCAGAAAGATTCAGTGGGATTAGGAGATGGGAGTCCTGCTTGACCTGGTATTTCATCTGTAGCCGTCATGATTAAGTTTCAATGAGTGAATAGAAAGCAATTGAATGCTAGAAAGCAACAAACTGAGAAGTGAAAAGCTTGTTGAGTTGTACTCCCATGCCGTGCCCCCACCATCACATACCATCACGTGCATATCACTATCTCCCCCACCTTCTGGATTGGTGGGCCCACAGGTTGTACATGCCCAGTATGGCAAGTCGCGATATGAAGTTAACACCAAGAACCTAGATACTGTGTAGCTGATAATCTATACTAATATGTGTGAGGTCGAGTGAAGGCCAGATCGGCAAGCTAGTACTAGTGCAACACGCGTTTCCAACAAATATAACCATTTCGTCCGATCGTCCTCGAAGAGATAGCAAAGTCAAAAATTTGCTAAGAAAGGAAACATCCGCATTCTTCTCAAACAATTAAATTAACATAATCTCAATTACCCCTCTCAAAAAGCTTCTGAGCCCGAAATATCCGCATTCTCGTCGGTTTTCTCCCGAGCCGTATCCGGTTCGGTACCGTATTTAACCTTTCTCGGTTCATGCTGCTAGCGTGCATATTTACTTATCATTAACATCAAGCCACTATCAAGCCATTATCAGTAAAAGTATCGTAATGAGATTTGGAATCTGGATTTAAGTTTGGATTCTTCGCATGCATGGTTCGTATTCCTTGTTTCCCCGGATTTGCAGATAGTGTGTTTGTGGGCTGAGACTTGGGGTAATTGTTGACGGGAACATTTTCGGGATGGCTTGGGGTAAATGAGGGCTTTCATGTAGCAATGTTGATGTGCTATGTAAGCATTATATATGCGGTGAACAGAAAGGAGAAAGATCAGAGACTGTTCATCATAATTGGCCATCCATTCACAGCATGAGTCAAGCGGAAAAGAGGTACTTGATAATTCTTTCATTCATGGCCTGCCTAAAAAGAACCTCTATAGAGTACACAGTGCCCTTTCCTATGGACTCAAATACCATCCCATTCCATCCCATGCTATCCCTTACCCCTCCAAATGTACAGACGCTCATGCCAGGAGCAAGAAAGCAAACCTAGAGAAGCAAAGCCCAATAACTAAAATATCATATCCTGCCGAAGTGTCCAAGGAATGAATTTAATGAATCATTATAATAACCTCCCATTTTTGAAACTCCTGATGAAAATCCCAATGCACGCGTGAGCGATGTCCTATTCATAGTACTGTAACTATTGTTGTTGTTGCCGAGATGGAGATGGTGTGTAGAATGCCGTAGAAAGAATGAATTAACTCCACTTGATGAACGGGTTACTGTCTGCCATCTGCTATATCCTTCTCTCCATGAATGAACCTAAAGAAAATGTTGCTTCATGTATGATGAAACCAAGTCGAAATTCGAAACGCGACGAAATGAAAATGCGGTAGGTAATCACGGACGAAGAAGATACATGGAATAGATGTATCTACATCCTCACATGATTGGATGCGTGCTAACGTACACCCTCGTGATGAAACTACCAATGTAAATTTGCTAGTGAGGAGAGGTGTATCTATCTTCGACAAGCGGGGCTCCAACTTTCGGCGGGGAAGTTAATTGGGGATGGTGGAGGTGGGGCAGGTGGAGCATATTCGTTCTCGTGGAAGATATATGGAGTCTTGTTCTTAGAGTTCGCTTTGACGGTGTCAAGATAGAAGCTGACGTCTTCACCAAAGGTGGAAGAGGTAAGAAGTGGAGATAGACGGCGACGAGGAACAGGTACGGCCATTGTAGTGGTTGATGATTGAGAAGGCATGTTTGATGATGTGAGTGATTAACTTATATTAATATTCGAATTAGGAAGTATTGGTGTATGATGAGGTCTGATGTAGAGGACGGTTTTATGTGAAGGTCGGCTTGAATATGGCGAGGAGGTTGAGAGACCTTGGACCTTTATGTATTATTTTCTGGTGCTACCCCAGATTGTACGTGGGCTAATAAGTTTGGGGTCAGTTCGGAGTTGGTTGGAGATAATGGGGGGAAACAGCTACTACGCACCAGAAAACGTTGGATCTGTATGGGGAAATGGGGAAGGTTGATAAGCGCTTACGATCCTTCTGGAACGATGGATTGATTGTTGGTAAGTTGGTGATACACTTGACGCTTTTGCAACGAACGGATGCTTTGCTCAGGCGCACTCGCAGATATGAGGCAAAAATAGTGCAATGATTATGAGGCTGAGTGAGATGGGAGAGTGAACAACAAGTCTTGAAGAGAATGATCTTGTAATGAAGAATTAAACAAAAACTAAACGACTGAGAGGGGGGCAAACGAATGAATTTATCTTGCATCGACTGCTACTATACAGTGCCATACGAAACCTTGATAAATTAATCATATCATATCCGGTATGATTCCCCCTTACCAAATACATAGCACAGATGAAAAAAATATGTTGACAAAGAAACAGCTAATTGCAAAGCCGAAAAAGAAAAGGAAAAATAATTCAAGACAATCATCCCTTCGGGAAGCCGCCTCACAATTTAGTATTTACCCCAGTCTCATCTAAGAATGTTCGAATTTATTAGTAAACCAGGGTTATGGATCGTTTCGGTCGTGATACTGTGCGTGCGTTACTGGCTTTGATCAATGATCGGTCTGAGGCATCCTACGATGCGAGGGTTTCTGCAACAAAATCCAAGGAAATTGAATAGTATAAACAATAAAGCAAAAACGATTGCAACTATACCAACAGGAAATAGAATAAAAATTGCAAATCTCCGGCGTACTACCATATTATTAGCATACTAGCATTACTAGCATAGCATATAGCCTTTCGAACCCGAGTGCCCCGGACACTCCTAAATTGTTGAATTGTCACTCTGTTACAGGGAAGCCCCTAGATATACTACTGCATTCGCTGTATTTGCATCTCGTTGATTCTCATCCAATCTAAAACATAATCCCCAGTTTCTTGGAATATGTACTGTATCGGATTATGTTGTGTTGTTGAGCTGTTTCCAGCCTTACTACTGTAACAGTTTTGTATCCTTGCATATGTGAGAAAGCATGGAATTTCGTGGGGTTGACAGGCATATTTTCTGGATATTGGAGGAGGAACCCTGAGAAGAAGACGGATAAGTGTGAAAGTGGAGTTTAGATCGTTTTTTTCTTCTTCTAATCCTACTCATTAACGTTGCTTCCGGATCATCGAACCCGTAAGTACCATGTCTTGGCTTAGATTTTATTGCTTTTTACTCTTGATATCATTGTTTTAGAAAATGATGATTATGTATTCAGATCACGGCCCCCCCGAGATTTAACATGTTGTCTGTTTTAATATGAAGCCATCATATTCCGAGCAGTTGTAGGTTGGGTTGAATTTCCTCGGTAGGATTGCTTTCGTTCACCCCCTTCATCTCGCCAAGGGCTATCGGTAGTGATACGAAATGTTTCGTACAATTTATAACTCCGTCTATAAATCCAACCGGGATGGGCGTAATCATACAGTACGGTGCAAGGACAGCTATCATATAATATGAATGGTTCATTAATATGCTTCACTACGGATTCCGAAAGTTTTCTCATCTCATCTTTTTCGAGTAGCGGTGTGGATTGACGTTTGACCGAATCATATAGAATGAGAGCGTCAGCGTTTACGTTAGGCAGAAGCTGGGAAGCTGCGAAAGCAACATTGTACAAAAAGCCAAATGTTACGATCGATGATGTTGGCAATCTAAAAACGAATTGATTTGGTTTCTTCATTCGTCGCATTTCTATTTTGTGTTAATGAGAACAAATTTTGGGTTCGGCTTATGTGGGTAGGTAGATTTTAGCTTTCGTGATTGTCTTGGATATCAAAATACCATCGACGGTTGCTGCCAGATTTATCACAACCTAAACCCCCACGTTGTGACTTGTCAAATTTGAAGAAGGGGATATGAAGGTATGATTGAAGTCTTACTGCATTCGGCCTTATATGTGGAGTATGCTCTCAGATTGATTTAGAAAACATGGGGAGAGACAAGACTGGAATGTGCCGTAAGGGGTAGAAGTAATGTCGTAAAATCTTCCAGACCTGGCCTTACCAAGTTACTTGGCCTGCTTGCAAACCATACATCTCCAATATTCTATTGCACCGTGTAGACGAGACGTCCGTATGCAAAGTATGGTATTTTCAGTGGAAGGATCTTTTTTATTCTTGTTTGCAGCTTCTTGAAAAATTCGTCGACTCATACCAACATCTCATCCAACCATTAGAAACAGGAACGGGCCTTACCTTCCGCTCATCTTGGGTACGGGATGAGGTGAGCAAAAAGAGTCATAGAAATGGCCAGCTCAATCTTCATACTAACATTGATAATACGTTTACACTCAATGCTACAGTGACTATGATATTTCATGTTACAGCTTTGATGCCTGACGCTGGCAAAGCAAAGGTAGATACAACCATGGCCCTTGTAATGGTCACGGATGGATGAGGCGAGAACTTTATACTATACCAAAACTTAACAAAAATGATATATTGAGAAGCGATACGCCAAACATATGGCATTGCCGTTTGAAAGCCTCACATTGATATCTTCTGTAGCTCGAAAGTATCATATTAGGTAAAAGATCTCGTGTATCAATGCGGGGACCCGCGATACCATTTACAGTTCAATGTACAGAATGGTAAATCCGGGGAACCGGATCTTTTCATCGTACAGTCCATTGTTTGCTTCACCACACAAAAAGAAATCGGTTCATTGCCTTTGCGAGAGTGAGATATTCGGCGTTTTTGATGGAATTACTTCGTTTCTCTCTCATGTATTATAATCTAGTTTACTACGTAAACTCCAGATCCTACATCTGAGTAAGATTCGGAGATATTCTCTCCAACCGGAAGGTTGAAACTTCTAGAAGGCAATTACCGATAGGCTGCCCCTGATACCATGGTAAACCCACGCCGCTGAGCTCCACTGTGGGCGCTTGAAAATTCGAAGATCCACATATTTGAACGACATTAGTACTTTCCCCTTTCATTCCCTCGATTCCCAAACAAATCCAACAAGTTTTCTCAAGTACAGGTACAGAGTATGAAATTGTAATCAACACAGAGATCATGGTTGCAAAGTTAGCCATCTAGGTAATAAGTGGTGTGACATTATCTAGCGATTGGTTGTTGATTAGTAATGCGGAGCGTTACTTTAAAATCTACAACCAATAAATCTTTCCCTGACACTACCTATCCGCCGTTCATTCTCCGCTTCCACAAATTTAGAAATATCACCTAATTCTTGAGAATGTGTGCTCCCTTTTATTTACTGCAGATCTATATCGATTTTTGCACCATCCGTCAGCTTCTTCGTAAGCT